AGCATATAACTTAGAGGTCAGTTTTAATTCATTATGTAAGTGGGCCAATCTTTCTTAACTATTGCTTTTATCCTATCAATCCTTTGCTCTGAAATTATGACTTACTGAAATAGAAATTGCCAGATTAGATAAGCACATTTTTCTGTCACTCTCCATTCTAAATAAAATTACATGAGCACAGCATTTTATTTTATTTTTTTGTAGAGACAGAGTCTCACTATGTTGCCAGACTGGTCTTGAACTCCTGGGCTCAAGCGATCCTCCAGCCTTGGCCTCCTAAAATGCTAGGATTACAACAGGTGTGAAACACTGTACACCTTTAAACAGCATTTTAAAAATCTGTATTCTTTTCATTTTCCAAATGAACTAAACTATGTGTTTAAATCTATATGACTTTCTACTCCCCATTCTAACTATAAGCCACATATTAACTTACTGACTTTAGCTGACATCAAACCTGTGTTTGTATTCCTGCTGTCCACATTCAGTTCTGTATGTCCAGCAGTCTCCTGGACGTGTCTGCAAAGCAGGCCCCTCAAACATGTCTAAAACTGAACTCATCATTTCCCTCCATTACCTACTTTTCATCCCGTGTTCTCATCTTAGTAAGTGGGATTACTGTTCCACAGCTGCTTAAGCTAGATGCATGGGTCTCACCCAGGCTGGAGTGCAGTGGTGCAGTCTTGGCTCACTGCAACCCCCGCTTCTGTGATTCAAACAATTCTCCTACCTCAGCCTCCCAGGTAGCTGGGATTACAGGTGCCTGCCACCATGCCTGGCTGATTTTGTATTTTTAGTAGAGATGGGTTTTACCATGTTAGCCAGGCTGATCTCAAACTCCTGACCTCAGGTGATCAGCCCACCTTGGCCTCCCAACATACTGGGATCACAGCGTGAGCCACCATGCCTGGCCATAGTTGGATGATTTTTTAAAACAGCAATTTTGATCAAGTCTTCTTTTCCCTAAGTTGAAAAACCTTTTGATTACTTCCATTTGCCCTTAACAGAAAGTTCAGATTCTTTAGCACAGATCCCTAACTTTGTACATTTAATTGTCTTGCTTTCTAACACTTAAAATAAATAAAAGCAAACCAAAGCACCTAAAAACATCTTAGCTAACTAACTCATTTTTGAAGTCTCAGCCTATTTATGCCACTTCCTAGGGCTTGCTTTCCCTGAACCCCTTTCCCTCCCTGAACCCCTTTCCCTCTTGTGTCTTGAAATACTGCTTTTTAAAACACCCATCCTACCAACAGTTTTTTTGTTTTGTTTTGTTTTTTTCAGACAAGTCTTACTCTGTCACCCAGGCTGGAGTGCAGTGGCACAATCTTGGCTCACTGCAACTTCTGCCTCCCAGGTTCAAGTGGTTCTCCTGCCTCAGCCTCCCAAGTAGCTGGGATTACTGGTACCCACCCCCTTGCCCAGCTAATTTTTATATTATCAGTAGAGACAGGGTTTCACCATCTTGGCCAGGCTGGTCTGGAACTTCTGACCTCAAGTGATCTACTTGCCTCAGCCTCCTGAAGTGCTGGGATTGCAGGCATGAGCCACTGCACCCGGCCTAGTTATTTAAGGTAAATATTATGTAATTCATAAGGTGAGGAAAATAATGACAAGTATGTACAGTATATTGTACCATGAAGTGCTGGTACTACTCTAAGCACTTTATATATTTTAATTCATTTAATACTAACAACAGCATCTTGATACGTACTGTCACCCTATTTTTCAGATGGAGAGATTGAGGCCTAGAGAGTTTTAAGTAGTTTATCCAAGATCATACAACTACTAAGTAGTGGAATCAGAATTTGAACCCAGGAATTCTGGCTCCAGAATATGTGCTTCTAAGCACTGCTTGGGCTGCTTGACCAAGAGCTTAGGACCTAGCTATTGTCTTTAATTGCTGAATTGCTAGTTGTATCAGTTTCCTGGTGCCGCTATAACAAAGTATTGTTTAACAGTTTTGGAGAATAGAAGTCTGAACCCAAAGGTGTCAGCAGAGCCATCGTCCCTTTGTAGGCTCTAGGAAATAATCCTTTCTTTTTTTGGCCTTTCCTAGTTTCTAGCATCCCAAGTGTCCTTGGCTTGCTGGCAGCATAATTCCAATCTGCCTGTTGCCATCTTTTCAAGACAGCCTAGGTTTTTTCTACCAAGCACTTAACAGTTCTTCCAGCCTCCTCCATTACTCAATTCCAAAGCCACTTTCACATTTTTAGGTATGTTAGCAGTAGCACCCACTTCCTGTTCCAAAAGTTGGGAGTTTCCTAAGGCCACTATAACAAAGTACTACAAATGGAGTAGCTTTAAAAAATATGAATTTATTGTCTCATAGTCCTGGAAGCCAGAAGTCTGAAATCATGAGTCAGCAGGGTTGGTTTTTCTGAAGGCTCTCAAAGAGAATCTATTCTATGCCTGTCTCCTAGCTTCTGGCAGTCATTGGCATTTCTTGGTTTACAGACACATCACTCCAGTCTCTGCCTCTGTCTTCACATTACCTTCTTTTCTCTTCTTTTTTTTTTAAGATGGAGTCTTGCTCTGTCAGGCTGGAGTGCAGTGACACGATCTTGGCTCACCACAACCTCTGCCTCAGCCTCCTGAGTAGCTGGGACTACAGGCGCATGCCATCACGCCCAGCTAATTTTTTGTATTTTTGGTAGAGACGGCGTTTCACCATGTTAGCCAGGATGATCTCCATCTCCTGACCTTGTGATCTGTTCACCTTGGCCTCCCAAAGTGCTGGGATTACAAGTGTGAGCCACCACACCCAGCCCATTACTTTAGTTTTTATGTGTCACCCTGGGTCCACCCCTTTTCTGAGGATACAAGTCATTTGATTTAGGGGCCACCCTTAATCCAGGACGATTTTTATCTCAAGATCCTTAATTAATTACATCTGCAAAGACCCTATTTCCAAATAAGATCACATCCTGAGGCTTCAAGTGGACGTGAACTTTGGGGACATTATTCCACTAATTTCACTAGTGTTCTTTATTCTTCATTTCTATGGGTTTGTTTAGAAATTAAACTTGAAACTTACTGTTAGTCATTAACCTTCTACTTATCTAGCCTAGGTAAAAGTCAAAGAAGCTTTAAATTATAGACATATAATATGTATGTTTGCTCTTAATTATATTTTTAGCAAACCTTTGCATGTCAGCCTGTCTACTCTTTGACACCCTATGAGTCCTTGAGAATGTGTGCCAAGTGGTACCTTTAGGTCTGAGTGAACCTGATGAACATCGTAGGCCTTATAGGATCCAGAGCTTCTGCAGAACCACATTGTAACTCCAAATCCAAATATACATAAATAATGTATATTTATATAAGAAAGCTGTTGTCACTTTTGCAACGAGAGCAGATAATTTTGATTATATAAACTGTGTATGTAAGCCAAGGACCTAAGTATGAAAAAATAACTTTTTAGCCTGGCACGGTGGCTCACGCCTATAATCCCAGCACTTTGGGAGGCCAAAGAGGGCGGATTGCTTGAGGCCAGGAGTTCAAGACCAGCCTGGCCAACATGGCAAAACCCTTTCTCTACTAAAAATATGAAAATTGGCTGGGCATGGTGGCACATGGCTATAGTCCCAGCTACTTGGGAGGCTGAGGCAGGAGAATCACTTGAACCCGACATGGAGGTTGTGGTGAGCCAAGATCACACCACTGCACTCCAGCCTGGGCAACAGAGCAAGACTCCATCTCAAAAAAAAAAAAAAAGAAAAGAAAGAAAAAAGTTAAATACAACAAAACAGACCAAAAACCCCCCAACTTTTCTTTGAATGGATTAGTGGGTATTCGCTGTTTTGCCACTTTATGCTTTAATGAATTTATTCTTCTGTGGCTTTAAGAAGAAAAATGTTAAGTCACTGAATACTGTATAGGTTGAGCATCCCTTATCTAAAATGCTCTGGACCAGAAGTGTTACGGACTTTGGAACATTTGCATTATACCTACCAATTGAGCATTCCTAATCTGAAAATCTGAAATGCTCCAATGAGCATTTCCTTTGAATGGCATGTTGGCACTCAGAAACTTTTGGATTTCAGATTTTCAGATTAAGGATACTCTACTCGTTTCCTTTTATTTATCTGTGATTTAATATAGCCCTTCTTCAGAATTACTGAATGACTCATTCTGGGAATGCTGCTAAATTTTTATTCACTTATTACTCATTGTCTTCAAGTGCCTCACACATACTCTTGAATTCCTTTTGAGTGGGAACAGAAATCCCATTATATGTGTTCCTCTACGTCTAGTCCTAGACATTAATTTGCCTTGTTTCTTTTAAGTTAGTGACTATCTCTGTTGGTCTTTAACTCCATTAAAAGTAAAGGGAAGCTTAGGAGGATTTTAGGCAGGAGAGGAAGCTCCTCTTCTCTCCAGTTTGACCTTCAGTTGTACAGAAGTAAAGAGGAGAGATGAGATATTGGAGATAACTCCTTCAAGAACCAGAACTTAGCAAAGCATTTATACTATTTTGATGGAACTCTTTCTAAATTTTATTATAAAGTTAGCCAGGTATCGTGGCACATGTCTATAGTCCTAGCTACTTGGGAGGCTAAGGCAGGAGAATTGCTTGAGCCTAGGAGTCTGAGTATGCAGTGAGCCATGACAGTGCCATGCACTCTAGCCTGGGAGATAGAGTGAGACCCTGTCTCTAAAATAAATTTATTTTCTTCTAAAATAATTCTAAATACATTCTGTTCATCATATTGTTACATTGATGATCCTAAAGTTGATTGAGATGTAGCTGAAACTGGCTTCCACAAAGTACTCTCACGTGGTTCTGAATTTTGAGGTAATCTTTCTTTGTGTCATGTTTTTTATATGTCCTTTCTCAGAGTAAATCAAGTTTGAGTAAGGCCTGCAGGGATCTCTTATGAGCACATATATTGAGTTTTAGTGCATAAGCTTTGTTTTAACTTTTCACTGGGTAGATGAAACTGTCAGATAAGTGGCATTATGTCTAACATAAATTATTTCCCCCCATTTTTAAACAGAGAAGAAGATACAGAAAATGAAAATGAAAAGAAAATTTGGTACTACAGCACAAAGGTCCAGCTTGCAGAATTAATTGACTGTCTAGACAAAGATTATTGGGAAGCAGAACTCTGCAAAATTCTAGAAGAAATGCGTGAAGAAATTCACCGACACATGGACATAACTGAAGACCTGACCAATAAAGCTCGGGGCAGTAACAAGTCCTTTCTGGCGGCAGCTAATGGTGAGAAGGGCATTTTTGTCATTTTATTTTTGTTAAGTCTGAGCTAAACTGTTGGTATGAAATCACTGCAAAATTTGAAAATAGATTAAAATTTTCAAGTACAGTCATGTATTGCTTAATGATGGGAATACATTCTGAAAAATGTGTCATTTGGCGATGTCCTCATTGTGTGAACATCATAGAGTACACTTATACAAACCTACATGGTAGGGCTTCCTATACACCTTGGTTATACGGTATAGCCTATTGCTGCTAGGCTCCAAACCTGTACGTCATGTGACTCTACTGAATCCCATAAGCAGTTGTAGCACAAAGGCAGGGATTTGTGTATCTATCCATATCTAAACGTTTAAAAAGGTACTACATATAATCTTATGGGATCAATGTCATGTATGTGGTTTCTGGTTGACCGAAACATTGTACAGTGCATGACTGTGTGTATATTTTACTTTAGTTCTCCATATTTCATTTTCCCAAGAGAACCTTGTTCATTCCAACATAAATTAGGGATGCTATACATTTTAGTGTTTTATTTCTGCCTTGGTTTATTACTCATATTCCCCAAAATGTTAGTTTCTTTTTTTAATTCAAGTACCTTATTAAACTTGTTTGGCATTCCAGTTTTTAATTTTAAGAAATAATATTCTGTTTGAACTTTTTGCCTTTTTTAAAAAATAAAACTTTAAATTTTTAGAATAGTTTTAGATTTATACAAAAGTTGCAAAGATAGTAGAGGGTTTCCATATATCCTGCACTTGGTTGCCCCTGTTATTTATGTCTTAGATTCGTGTGGGATATTTGTTAGAACTAATGGACCAGTATTGATACACTGTTATTAATTCAAGTCCGTATTTTATTCGGATTTCCTTAGTTTTAACTAAAGAAACTTTTCTGCCTCGTGATCCTATACCACATGATATTTAGTCATCATGTTTTGCTCTAGATTGTCAGTTTCTCAGACTTTCCTTGTTTTTGACGGCCTTGACAGTTTTGAGGAGTACTAGTTAGGTATTTTGTAGAATGCATTCATTATAGGTTTTTTTCTATGAGTGTAGGTTGTTGGATATCTATTTTGTACTTATTGGATTATAATTGGATATTTATTAGGTTATAATTCAGTGTCACCTTATTTATTTTGTTGCTCAACTTTTTTTTTTGTTGTAAATACATATATATCTTAAAAGTTTAAATAGTATAAAAGGATATACTGTGAAAAATGAGTGTCTTTCCTTCATAATCTTCAATCTGACCTTCCTTTCTCCAGAGGTAATCATTATTGCTATATTTTTTATCCTGCCAGATGTATTCAGTACATGTTTAATAAATACCACCTGTGTTTTCCAATATAGCCATCCCTCGGTATTCTCAGGGATTACTTCCAGAGCCCTTTGCAGATAGCAGAATCTGTGATGCCCAAGTCCTCCAGTCAGCCCTGTGGAACCTGCTGATATGAAAAGCTGGCATTCCATATCAAGGGTTCTGCATCCTGAGAATACTATATTTTCAGTTCAATGTTGGTTGAATCCAAGAATGCAGAACCTTTGGCCCCGGAGGGCCAACTGTAGTACATTTTAAGTTTTAACTTAGATAAAATTATTAGGTTAAGATTTTGCTAAATAAATAAATAAGATTCTGCAAGTACACTTATAAGTGCCTGGTTCTGGGCTGTGTTCTGCATACATTATCTGCTATACATATAATCCTATTAATTTTCTACATTCTCCATGTGCTTAAAAATAGAATTTATATTTAATAAAGATAACTCAGCCGTATCCAAGCTTGTTCTCACATATTCTGTGTCAGTATTCCTGTGAATTCATGCTTATTTTTGGAGAATGATAGGCTCTCACATATAAATACTGTAGAGCACAAATAGACTTTGTTTTCAGAAAAAAGTATTCTTAGTTACTGTGAATTATTAAATTATATATATTCATATCTGGTAGTTGGAAGTATTTCTCTATTAGGTCTGTTTAGAAAAATGTATACTTTTTTCATTAGAAAAGTTTTAGTCTTCAGAAGTCTTTGGGGAATCAGTAATACCAGTAATGCAATCTCCATCTTATTCCTCCCTCCATATAGGTCAAATCATAGGAAATTTTATTAACTTCAGCCAGCTTACTTCCCCTCCTAATTTCCTTTTATGAATCATAGCATTAAAATAGACAAATCCCTTTTTGCTCTCCTGTGTTTTGGTACAATAACAGAAAACCATCTTCAGTCTCCTAAAAGGCAATGTGAGATATGATTTTATAAAGTATGTTGAATTAGAAATATTTTCCAGAATAAAAAATAAAAATTAAAAAAAAAAAAGAAAAAATATTTTCCAGGGTGAGCTTGTCTGTGTACAAAATTATATATACAGTATAATCATAGTTAAAGAACAAAATCAAAGCAGGAATGGATAATCAAAAGTGTTAAGTGGTCTGATTTGGGGGAATGTAAAAACTAGAAATGTTAATATAAGAGAATTGGTAAATTTCATTATGAATTATCATGTGATAGAACATTGCATGTTGGAGAACTAAAATACCATGCAAAAACTGTGCATGGGTCATTGAGAGACTTAAATCTCCTCCTCTAAATAACCAACTGGATCAGCTTTTATCATTAAAAAATAACCAGTTAGCATAGTAGAATTGTAGTTGGTTTCCTTTTCATATTTTTTAAATTTCCTACAATGAGCATGTTATATTTCAGTATAATTCAGTGTGTAATGTATAAAAAATTAGTTAGGGCTGGCGCGGTGGCTCAAGCCTGTAATCCCAGCACTTTGGGAGGCTGAGGCGGGTGGATCACGAGGTCAAGAGATCGAGACCATCCTGGTCAACATGGTGAAACCCCGTCTCTACTAAAGAAATACAAAAAATTAGCTGGGCATGGTGGCACGTGCCTGTAATCCCAGCTACTCAGGAGGCTGAGGCAGGAGAATTGCCTGAACCCACGAGGCGGAGGTTGCGGTGAGCCGAGATCACGCCATTGCACTCCAGCCTGGGTAACAAGAGCGAAACTCCATCTCAAAAAAAAAAAAATTAGTTAAACCTTTAGTAGTAATTGAGAGCAACAAAGAGAGCATTGAGCTTTAGGTCACAATATGTTCTTATAAAGTCAGATGACGAAAATGTGTGTGCTGTGAGATTGCCTTGCAACCTGCAGTTATCCTCTTAGCTCTACATGGAGTACATGTAAATAAGATGAGTTGCACCTTGGATTTAATGGTGAGATCTGGACCAAAAATGGCAGACATAAATATTTTCTTTCTCCCTACCCCAGCCTTTTTTTAAAATTTTATTTTATTTTTATTTATTTATTTTTTATTTTTTTATTTTTTTTTTGAGACAGAGTTTCACTCTTGTTACCCAGGCTGGAGTGCAATGGCCTGATCTCGGCTCACTGCAACCTCCACCTCCTGGGTTCAGGCAATTCTCCTGCCTCAGCCTCCTGAGTAGCTGGGATTACAGGCAGGCGCCACCATGCCCAGTTAATGTTTTGTATTTTTAGTAGAGATGCGGTTTCACCATGTTGACCAGGATGGTCTCGATCTCTTGACCTCGTGATCCATCCGCCTTGGCCTCCCAAAGTGCTGGGATTACAGGCTTGAGCCACCGCGCCCGGCCTTTTATTTTATTTTTATGTTAAAGTACAACATCAACCTAGTACTAGAGGAGGAGGGATTCACGAGAATTGAAAATTGGAAGGGAAGAGAAGGGGAAACTAACATTTTTGAGTGCCTACTGTGGGCCAGGTGCCCAACTAGGTCTTTTACAATTCTTTAATCCTCTCAGCAACTTTTTAAGGAGTGTATTGGCAATGAATTGAACGTTTAGGTAGAAGAATTCCACACTAAAACACCAGTTCACCACCTTTATTTGCTCTCTCTTATAACCAAAGTCTTGGCTATGATAGTCAGTTTAGGATCACCCAGTTCAGGTAAATACCCAAAATAATATCTAATAATGTTCTTTTACTTGGAGTTTTATGAGATGAAAACAATGGAAACTACAGGAGTTCTGATAATAATAGCCAAGTATAATTTGCAGCATGATAACAGGAATTTCAGAATTACAGTCTGTCCTGATGACTTTGACTTGATGTTAACCTCTCAAACAAAATACTGCATTTCTAATGTATAGCTCTCTGGTTTTTATATACATGAATGTCTACTTTAGGAGAGTTTAATTCTATTTTTGATAGTTAAATTTTTCTTCTCCGTTTTTCCTCAATTTTTTTTTTTTTTTCTTTTTTTGAGCTGGAGTTTCGCTCTTGTTACCCAGGCTGGAGTGCAATGGCGCGGTCTCGGCTTACCGCAACCTCCGCCTCCTGGGTTCAGGCAACTCTCCTGCCTCAACCTCCTGAGTAGCTGGGATTACAGGCACGCACCACCATGCCCAGCTAATTTTTTGTATTTTTAGTAGAGACGGGGTTTCACCATGTTGACCAGGATGGTCTCGATCTCTTGACCTCGTGATCCACCATCCTTGGCCTCCCAAAGTGTTGGGATTACAGGCGTGAGCCACCGCGCCCGGCTTTCCTCAATATTTTATGAAAAATTTCAAATATACAGAAAGGTTGAAAGAATTATACAGTTACCAGCCTGAACATGGCAAAACCCTGTCTCTACTAAAAATACAAAAATTAGCCAGGTGTGATGGCGCATGCCTGTAATTTCAGCTATTTAGGAAGCTGAGGCAGGAGAATCGCTTGAATCTGGGAGGTTGCAGTGAGCTGAGATCGTGCCACTGCACTCCAGCCTGGGCAATAGAGCAAGACTTTGTCTCGAAAAAAAAAAAAAAATTATACAATAAATACCGATATATTCATTATCTAGATCTGTACTTTACTATATTTTTTTAGCTAAATATACAGCTTACTATATTTGCTTTATTCTATGCCTGTATGATAATTATGTCTTATAAGGCTTTATTTTTCTTATTGAAGGAAGTTTTCTTTTAGAAGAAATTTTTCTAAGTAGAGATGGTTCCTAAAACTGGGTAGGTTAATTCTTTGTTTAGTTTTGAAATATTTATGCAAAGTGTGGAATATACATATTTATTATGGATTAGATACAATGTAATTTTCTTTCATCCTTTAATGTTTTTTCTCTCTGCTGAACATTTTGGGTCTTTTTTCTTTTTCTTTTTTTCTTTCTTTCTTTCTTTCTTTTTTTTTTTTTTTTTTGTTGTTGTTGTTGTTTGTTTGGTTTTGGTTTCTTTGAAACAGTCTCGCTCCGTCACCCAGGCTGGAGTGCAGTGGCATGATCTCGGCTCACTACAGTCTCTGTATCCTGGGTTCAAGCAGTTCTCACGTCTCAGCCTCCCAAGTAGCTGGGATTATAGGTGTGCGCCACCATGCCCAGCTAATTTTTGTATTTTTGGTAGAGATGGGTTTCACCATGTTGGCCAGGCTGGTCTCAAGCTTCTAGCCTCAAGTGATTAACCTGCCTCGGCCTCCTGAAGTGCTGGGATTGCAGGTGTGAGCTACCGTGCCCGGCCCTATATTTGGTCTGTTTTTCTTATGGCTATGATTGCCGTAGTTTTTTGAAACTAAAACCAGTATGAATGTGTGTATGTAAATGTGAATATACATACACACATATATACAAGAGTGTTTAACAAGATAGACTATTTGAAATTAGAATCTTCATAGAAAATGAGAGAACTATGTGCTTTTCAACCAATTTAAATGATCTAAACTTAGTAGACAATTTTAAGAAGTTTTTTTTGTTTGATTTTCATTAAATGGCACTGGGAAAGTAGGGAGGATGTACAATGATTTGGTTAAGAAAAGCTATAGGATGTAGCTATTTTTGAAAGACAGCTGGGTATGGTGGCTCATGCCTGTAATCCTAGCACTTCAGGTGGTCAGGAATTTGGGAACAGCCTGGCCAACTTAGTGAAACTCTGTCTCTACTAAAAATGCAAAAATTAGCCAGGTGTGGTGGTGTACGCCTGTAGTCTCAGCTACTTGGGAGGCTGAGGTGGGAGAATTGCCTAAACCCAGGAGGTGGGAGGTTGCAGTGAGCCAAGGTCATGCCACTGCACTCCAGCCTGGCAAGACTCTGTCTCAAAAAAAAAGAGGAAATCTGTGCCTCTAAGAAAAACAGATTATCAGTAACTACATTTTCTTTTTCCAAATAAAATGTTCTTTAAAATACAGTAATTAAGGGCTGGGCACTGCTCACGCCTGTAATCCCAGTGAGGGGGGTCGCTTGAGGCTGGGAGTTCAAGACCAGCCTGAGCAACACAGTGAGACTCCAACTCTATTTTTAAAAAGATTAAAAAATTAGCCATACGTGGTGACACATACCTATAGTTCCATCTACTCGGGAGGCTGAGGTGGGAGGATCACTTGAGTCTAGGAGTTCAAGGTTACAGTGAGCTGCGATCACGCCAGTGTACTCGTGGGCAAGAATGAGACTGTCTCTAAAAAAGTTTCAAAAAAATTTTTTTAAGGGAACAAAAACCAATAAATCCAAATAGGAATACCGTGGGCATGCATGGTATTAAAAGTGTTTCTCCTGGCCCAGTGCAGTGGCTCATGCCTGTAATCCCAACACTTTGGGAGGCTGAGGTAGGCAGATCACCTGAGGTCAGGAGTTGGAGACCAGTCTGGCCAATGTGGTGAAACCCCATCTCTACTAAAAATACAAAAATTAACCTGGTGTGTTGGTGGTTGCCTGTAATCCCAGCTACTTGAGAAGCTGAGGAAGGAGAATCGCTTGCATCTGGGAGGCGGAAGTTGCAGTGAGCCAGGATCAGACCATTGTGCTCCAGCCTGGGCGACAAGAGCAAAACTGTGTCTCAAAAAAAAAACCAACAACCACAGTATTTCTTCTTATTCATAAATATTGTACTCTAATTGCTATATTTATTTTTATGAGGAAACAGTTTAGCAATTTCCAAACCATTTTCTTTGTGTACTAGGAATGAACAAATAACTAGATATATTATAGGTAATGTGCAGATTTCTCACTGTCAGAGAAAGAAGTTACAAATAAGCAAGCAGGCAATGCTAAATGAACCATACACAGACACATAGGCATTCACTCATACACATATGTACCCCCAAAAATACAGAAATAATATAGATGTGTATATTTATGACATCTCTTAGCTCTGTTGGCTGAGAGACCCTAGAACAGCAACACCCCAGTAGTAACAAGCACAGCAAGCACCTAGATTGTGAGTTCTAGCATCATTCTCCAATTTGTTCCTCAAAAAAGAACAAAGGCTCCTTAGAGAGATGGTAGATTCTAGGGCTGGGGCAGAGAAAATACAAGGTGAGCCTGGAGCATCTTGTAATACTGGAAAGTAAGAAAACGCTGAATTAATGAATGGATGGATGAGTACGTGTCAAAAGGACATTGGACTCGGGAAAAGTCCCAAATGGCCACAGCTGAAACAATTTGTGCAACAAAATTTAAAGCGATAGTATTGTATGATAACCCAAAGAATGTAATTATCCATGAGTCCATATGGATATACTCTGTGTTCTGTACACTGTCTTCCTTCTGTATCCTGTGATCTGTAACATGCTGTAATATCACTCTAAGTTGAAAGAGGGTAAGTGTGCTTAGAGACTTAGTGACTCTCAGAACAGTTTAAGGGGCTTCAGAGAGAAAGTTGTTTCCAAATGGGCCTCTGTTTTCTCATTTTACACTTGAGAAAATGATGGCCTGGGGAGGTTAGGTAGCTTGCCCAGAGTCACACAGCTAATCCAAGTCAGATTTGCAGTAGGTTTGAGGTTTCTAGGTTGTGATCACTACAATGTGCTACCCAGTCTGTGGGTCTACGTCAGCCTGCAGTTTTGGTCATCTGTCACAGCTATGCATGACAGATATCTATATCAAGCCTATATTTTAAAAAGATGGACTAATTTTTCTTTTTGTTTTTAAAGGAAGTAGAGCCCATAATTGGCATATGTTTTCTAGAAGTGAAGGCACACCAAATTGATTTAATTATCTAAACAAAATTTTGTTTTTTGTTTCATAGGTCTACTGCTTTAAAAATACTTGATTTTTTTCTCTTTAATAGCTTGTATTGAATAAGTGGCATTGGTGGTACTGTTCTATTTGGTTATATATAGAAATAATTTTTTAATTTGTTTTTATAATAGAAGAAATTTTGGAATCCATAAGAGCCAAAAAGGGAGACATTGATAATGTTAAAAGCCCAGAAGAAACAGAAAAAGATAAGAATGAGACTGAGAATGACTCTAAAGATGCTGAGAAAAGCAGAGAAGAATTTGAAGACCAGTCCCTTGAAAAAGACAGTGACAACAAAACACCAGAGGATGTCCCTGAGCAAGGAAAATCTGAGGGTAAAAAAATTACTTGATTAAATTCATGCTTGATTAACTTCACGTTTCATCAGTGTTATTTATGAAACCTCCAGTTTTACTTGGAAAATGAAAGTGAAATATTACAAGCAACTGCTTAATTTAATATTTCTAAAGAGATCAGGATACTGTCCCCTCTTGTAATGTGTAACAATTGTACTGAGTTGTATGTATTAGTAGATTTGCTATATTGTTATACTCACGTCTCTGTACTTCCCATTAATTGCTATTTCCCTATCAAAAAGTACTATTTTTTATATTATTCCAGAATATCCACTTTTGTATGTGATAAAATGTTCATTTTTATATTAATTACTTAAGCATTCTTAATATATCATGAAATATTCTTAAATACTCTTCGGATTACCTATTGCAGCACTGTCCCAGAATCTAATTGCTTTAAAATGGCCATCCAGCAGAAGCAGGTTTTTTCGGCGATTGATCATTTTTAATAGTTGACTGAATGTGGCCATTTGTCCTGAAGCAATTTTAAAGAATATCTTTTAAGTTTTGTTGTGCATTTTGCTGTAGAGCCAACAGAAGTTGGGGATAAAGGTAACTCTGTGTCAACAAATCTTGGCGACAACACAACAAATGCGTCTTCAGAAGAGACTAGTCCCTCTGAAGGGAGGAGCCCCGTGGGGTGTCTCTCAGAAACCCCTGATAGCAGCAACATGGCAGAGAAGAAGGTGGCATCTGAGCTCCCCCAGGATGTGCCAGGTACAGAGGGCAGCATATCAATGCCTCTGTAATGGGGGGAATCCTTCCCTTTTGTAGTAAAAGCCGAATGTCACCTAAAACTTTAAAGTATGTGTTCATTCATGCTGCTTGCTTACAGTGCCATCCCTGTTTGCTAAATTGTCACCTAACATTTGAAGTTTGATAAATGTCCTCGCAGTTAGTGCTTGAAACTCATCATAATTTTCATGCTTTTTAAACTTCATTTAGCTGTTTTTGTTTAATAGATTTATTTTTATATTTTATCACCAGACCATAGTGGCAGATATTTTGGTTTTAATTACTTGTGTACTAATGGCTCCATGTTGAATGATATGACCTTTCTAGTTCTGTAGATACTAACAAATTAATTTTATGTTTGCATGTGCTCATGTAATATTTATAGCATTTCAAACTGTAGTGTTATGGTAGAAAATCATTATCACAAAACATTGTTGTGAGATGTATATTGCCATAAAAATGTAAGTTGACCAGTAATTCGTATTTTCAGTTTTTAAAATTAAAGTTATACTCCAAGTAAATTATATCACATGAAGCATGTCCTGTTGCATAACATGGATTTTGACAACCTACAGTTGTTCTTATGGGGACGACTTCCATTTGAGTACTGGTCAACAGTGAGCTGTATTCCTGAAAACACCAGTTTAACAGGGCGCTACAGATAGGGATGTAAGTGTAAGCTCCAGAAGAACCACAGCAATCAGCAGTAAGTCCACTGTATTTTACACTGATGCGAGATTGGTCATTAAGATCAAGAAAAGGGCCGGCGCAGTGGCTCACGCCTGTAATCCCAGCACTTTGGGAGGCCGAGGCAGGCGGATCACCTGAGGTCAGGAGTTTGAGACTAGCCTGGCCAACATGGTAAAATCTCATTTCTATTAAAAATACAAAAATTTGCCAGGCATGGTGGTGGGCGCCTGTAATCCCAGCTACTCAGGAGGCTAAGGCAGGAGAATTGCTTGAACCCTGGAGGTGGAGGGTGCAGTGAGAGGAGATTGCACCGCTGTATTCCAGCCTGGACAACAGAGTGAGACTCCATCCCCAAAAAAAAAAAATGTTTTTAGTCTAGGAAAGAATAGGGACTTGGCATTGAGGGGTGAGATGGAAATAATATAATTGTCCTCAGATATTTGAAGGACTGTTGTGGGGCATATGAGACTTGTTTTTAGAGATTTATGGTGTTAAGTCATAAATAGAAATTATAATAAAGATTATTTTGATTAAATATTAACAACTTAAAATTAGAGCTTTTTGGAAAATAGAAGCAATAAATTCCCTTTCACTAGAGGCATTCAGTAAGTAGCTATAAGAGATTATTTCAGTGAGAGTCTTTTATTGAATAGATAGGAGAAACTCAGATATCTATAATTTGATTTTATAATTTTATGGTTTAAGTTCTGAGTCCTATCCAGTTTTTTAAAAATTATATTATCCTGACTCTCATATTCAGGGTTAAAAGTTTGAAAATGGGTTATTACCCCCAAAATAATGTGGAAAATATTTCATTCTTATTGGAATCATGATTATATTCTTAGTAAATACTTTAAAAAATATTCTTTGTACATTTACATTGATCAGTACTTAGTGTAAACCTTAGTCTTACTAGTGGGCTAATGTAAGATCTAGTTCCGTTTCTAAACCAAACTCAGCTAAGTAACAGCTATACTTAGATTTTAGCAGACATTTGCTTTGTCAGGTATTGTATTACCAGTTTATTCATTTCTCTGAGAAATACGTTCTTTTGTTATTTGAATGATTTAAGGGAGAAACTATTATCCTAGAATCTTATATACTTTTAATGAATGTTAAATGAATAATATATATAAAACACTTAGGATTGTGCCTAACACATATTAACTGCTCAGTAAATGTTGGGTATTACTGTTAACTCCTATTTACAGTTAATTCTTCTGAAGAGTGAGAAAGCCTAGCAAGAAGAGAATAATAAAATGAGTGAATTGAATTGTACTTTTACTGATTCAGTAGTTGTTAATCAACATAATTCTTGTAAATGAGAGCCTTTGTAGTTACACTTCACAGTTCAAATATAATAGTATTTTCATGTATATAAAAATATATTTATGGCCATGTGCAGTGGCTCATGTCTGTAATCCCAGCACTTTGGGAGGCTGAGCTGGGCGGATCACCTGAAGTCAGGAGTTTGAGACCAGCCAGACCAACGTGGTGAAACACTGTCTCTACTAAAAATGCAAAAATCAGCCAGGCATGGTGGCACATACCTGTAATCCCAGCTACTGGGGAAGCTGAGGCAGGAAGATCACTTATACTCGAGAGGCGGAGATTGCAGTGAGCTGTGATCGTGCCACTGCACTCCAGCCTGGGCGACAGAGCAAGACTCCATCTCAAAAAAAAAAAAAAAAAAAAAAAGAAAAAGAAAAATATATGAAAACATAAGCAAGAAGTTTCGAGGAAACTAGAATGGGAGCAAATATAGCAATTGTCAGTAGCTGGCATCAGAGGAGATTTTGGGTCATTAGCAGGGTGAGAGTGCTCTACAGCTGAAGATACTGTCCCTACAGTAAATTCAAAACCTTCCCATTTAATAACTCATAGTTCTCTTCATGACTAGAGTAAAAAACAAAACAGAATTATCATACTTATTCCCAAAACAGGAAAAACATTTTTAAAAGACTTTATTAAATATATCAGTTTTGGTCATCTGTCACAGGTATTAAAGAGGAGTTTGGTACTTTTATAAAGTAGATAAACATTGTAATAGGTCCCTGACTTCAGACTGTAATAACAGGGATATGTCAGTGACCAAAATAGATAAGGTCTGGGCTCTTGGTTACTTACATTCTACTGGGCAGTAGACAGACTTAATATTGAGTTCTGACCTTCAGAAAGAATTAACCTGCTTCCTTCTGTTTCTGTGGCTCTCTATGCAGTTATTTATTCAGCAGATATTTATTGAGTGCCTACAATGTGCCTGGCAGTGTGCTAGACACTTTGTGATATCTGTGGACCAAACCCTGTTGCCACTGTTTACTACCTATGGTCAGTGGATGTGATGCCTTGTTAAAAGAATTGGGGTGGAAGAATGTTTCAAGGCAGATTAAGAACAATAGCCATGATAGAAGACATCTTACTTGGTTTTCTTTTCTAAACTTTCAGAATGTATTTAGACACCTAATTTCATGACTGAAACTTATCAATAAAAGATACTGTCAAATTGGAAAGCATTTTGGATGGAAAGATATTTTCGGTAAAGTTTTTTTTTTGAGAGTCTCGTGCTTTCACCCAGGCTGGAGTACAGTGGCATGATCACAGCTCACTGCAGCCTTGACCTCCCAGGCTCAAGCGATCCTCCCACCTCAGCTTTCTGAGTAGCTAAGACTGCAGGTGTGCACTGCCATGCCCAGCGTATTTATTTATTTACTTACTTACTATTTTGTAGCAACAAGGTCTCACGTGTTGCCCAGGCCAGTCTCGAACTCCTAGGCTCAAGCCATCCTCCCACCTCAGCCTCTCAGAAGTGCTGGGATTACAGGCATGAGCCACTGCACCCAGCAACTTTTAAAAACTGAAATGTAACCTGCAGTAAAGTTTACAAATATTAAGTGAATAACTTGATGGTTGTTTACAAAGTTAACACACTTGTGTAACCATATCATGCCCCCTCTCAGCCACCACTACCCCTAGCCCAACAAAGGTAATAACTATTCTGTCACCACCAATTGGTTTGCCTTTTAAAAAAAACTAATGGAACCATATAGTATGTACTCTTTGATGCCTGATAGCTTTTTTCTCACCTCAACAAAATATCAATGAGAGCCATCCATATATTGCTAGTAGCAGCAGCTCATTCTTTTTTATTGCAGTATGAGATGTCATGATTAATTTATTATTGTTACATGTTGGTGGTTATTTTAATGGTTTTTGGTTATTTTACATGTTTCTTTTGCACATACACATGAATTTCTAGAGGTATAAGCCTAGTTGTGGATTTTCTAGATCATGGGGCTGGTGAATGCTTATTTTTGGTAGATACTGCTGAACAGTTTTCCACAGGGGTTGTGGAAGTATTCACTTCACCAGTGTATGAGAGTTCTAGCTCCTCTGCATCCTTGCTAACACTTGGTATCATCAGCATCACTCTTTGTCTTTTTGGAGGATTGAGGGGACATTCTGGTGGGTATGTAGGGATATTTTATTGTTGTTTGCACTTGCCAGCTCCTTGGTGACTAAGGATGTTGAACATCTTTGTATGTTTGTGTGTGTGTGTCAGCCATTTAGAAATTGCTTTTGGGAAGTACCTATCTGCTTCTTTCATCATTTTCTATAAATGGTCTGTTTTTTGCTTTGTAGTTGTTTCATGGGAGAGGGTAAATCTGGTTCTTCCACCCCACCTTGACTAGAAGCCGAAGTACCTACATTGAATTTTGAATGTTAACCCAATCTCATGTTCCTGGAGTAAATACAATGTGGTTGTGATATATTTTCCTTGTTAGATATTATATATAGCATCCCGTTTACTAATGTTTTGTTTAGGATTTTTGCATTTATTTTCATGAGTAAAATTGGCTTGCATTTTTCTTCTCTGATAATGTCAGTCTTTAGTATCAAGAATAGTTTGGCCTCATATCATGAGTTGGTACTGGAAGATTTTTTTGTGGGGCTGGTGTTAATTATTTCTTAAATGTTTGCTGGAATGATTAGGTTTTGGAGTTTTCATTGTGGAAAGGTTATTACAGATTTCATTCACTTCTTTAGTAGATAATGGGTGTCTTTGTCCATTTGTGTTGCTGTGAAGGAGTACCTAAGGCTGGTAATTTATAAAGAAAAGAGATTTATTTTGCTATGATTCTGCAGACTCTACAAGAAGTGTAGTCCTGACTTTGCATCTGGCAAGTGCCATTTCCACTAATGGCAGAAAGGGAAAGGGGAGCCAGTGTATATTGATACCTCATGGTGAGAGAGGAAATAGGGGAGGTAGGAGTGGCAGATGACAGACTCTTTCT